ACACTTCTTAAATCAAGCGTTCTCTTGATTCATCTTCGACCTCATAGTTCTCATTGTGTCTGGCTTATTCTCGTCCCGAGTAGTGCTAATACTTAAAACTTTCTCATTAGCAGATAATGGAAGCAATATTAATTCTTCTTGTGTCCTAGGTTCTAAAACTTCAAAGTGTTTTAACATCTTCCCCTTCCTTTTCAATTCAATAGCTCTCTCTAGCTCATAAATTATGGGGAGAATCCATAACTCCTACTTTCAAAATCATGATGATTATATAAAATCTTCTATTGTAGAGAAAGTTGAAAGCCAATAAAACCTCCACTGCTTCAATTGCAGAAGCAAGTTTGAGTATCTGCATTTTTTTATTTTTTTATTTTTTTATTTTATTTTTTTTGTGTCTCAATTAAGTCATAGCATATGCATCTTCAAATTTGTCATCTTTTACATCAAGTTATTAAAGCCCTATTTGACAACAATTATTTGGCAACTCCTTTTTCTACAATCTCATTTTCAACCGCACATTCACTCAATAAAATATTCTACACGTAAATTTAAAAATATTTCATACTTTTTAACCACATATTCTTCTAAAAATCAATATTCAAAGCATTGTTTTCTCAAATAATGATTGTCAAACTGGGGTTAAATTTCCTACCAATAATATGGATGGAGTTCCAAATTTTCGATCTATAACTTTTCACCTCATTCATCTCTCTCTCTCTGCACAAATCAATTCAAAACCCATGCTTCTACTATGCTAGTCATTAAAAGGTTCTCTCTCAGATAGAATTATTGAAATCTTTCGAAGAATCCTTAACTCACAAAAATTTATATAGTGGATTAAAATTTCATAGTTTGTGTTTAAACTAGATGATGTAAATCAAAAAGCATCTAGAATTCAAATCTCATTATAACTCATTTATTAAATTCATACACATGTCAAGATTTAAATATAATTCTGGAGTGCACGTGACCTGCACGCGATCTATAAATTAATGCACTATTTTGACTAGAAATTCACATGGACATTGATTTTGAGAATATTTAACACACGCACTTCTTAAATCTTGTGTTTTCTCTCCATCTATCTTCCCACAAACCAGACCTCATAGTTCTCATAGTGTCTAGCTTATTCTTGTCCCTAGTAGTGTCAATACTGAAAACTTTCTCATTAGCAGATAATGGAAGCAATCTTGATTCTTCTTGTGATCCTGGTTCCACAAATTCACAAGTCTTTTGACATCTTCCCCTTCCCTTTCAATTCAATAGTACTACTTCCTCTTTATCTCATAAATTTCAAAAAGGGGAAATCCAACTATTGGTCGTAGCACGGGATTGTGTGTGTTAAGGTTATCAATTGAGGATCATATTTTATATTAGATAGTAATACAGGTTGCCTTCACACTATAAGTGAAAAAAGAGACTTGACCTCTACCCCATAGAAAGCACTCACATACGTAGGCGAAAGGTACAACTACTACTACTCAAAATCATAGAAGTCATTTAAAATCTTCAATTGTAGAGAAAATTGAAAGCCAATAAAATCTCCGCTTCTTCAGTTAGAGAAGGAAGTTTGAGTAACTGCAATTTTTTGTGTCTTAATTAAGTTATTGAATATCCATCTTCAAATTTTTCATTTTTGCATCGAGATATTAAATTGCCTACCAATAATATATATTTCAAATTTTCGAATCTATCAATTTTAACCACCTTGGTCTCTCATCCTTCAAACAAACCAATCGATAACCAATGCTTCCACTATACAAGTTAATAAAAGGTTCTCTTTCTCATATAGAAAGATTGAGATCTTTATAAGAATATATACCACATTAAATTTCTACAGTGGATTCACATGTAACTGTTTGTGTTTAAACTAAATATAAATAATTTATAATTTATACATTTAATAAATTTGTACACATGTAAAGATTTAAATATAAATATGAAGTGCACGTACGTGCATGCTATTTGTAAATTATTACACGTGAGAAGCCGTATTAGAAGATAAGATTTTACCAGAAATCCATGTGAATGTTGATTTTCAAAATATTTAACACTCTTCTTAAGTCTAGTCTTCTCTTGATCGATCTTCGACCTCATAGATCTCGTCGTGTCTCGCCTATTCTCGTCCCTAGATGTGCTAATACTAAAAACTTTCTTATTAGCAGATAATATTGAAAGCAATATTGATTTTTCTTGTGTCATGGGTTCTACAAATTCAAAGTGTTTTGACATCTTCCCCTTCCTTATCGATTCAATAGCAGTGCTTTCTCTTTATCTCATAAATTTTTGGAGGAATCCACAACTACTGCTTTCAAAATCATAAAAATTATTTAAAATCTTCCTTGTAGAGCAAGTTGAAAGCCAATAAAACGTCCATTGCTTCAGTTGTAGAAGCAAGTTTGAGTAAGTGCAATTTTTGTGTCTTAATTAAGTTATAGCATATGCGTCTTCAAATTTGTCATCTTTTACATTAAGATATTTAATTTCCTACCTATAATATATATTGAGTTCCAAATTATCAATCTATATCTTTTTACCTCATTCGTCTCTCTTTCTCCGCACAAATCAATTTAAGCAAGTCATTAAAAGGTTCTCTTTCTCATATAGAAATATTGAAATCTTTCGAAGAACCCCTACCTCACAAAATTTCTTTAGTGGATTAAAATTTAATAGTTTGTGTTTTAAATTAAATGATTTACATCTAGAATTCAAATCAAATCATAACTCATTTATTAAATTCGTACACATGTCAAGAATTAAATATAAATCTGGAGTGCACGTGGCCTGAACGTGATCTATAAATTACTGCAATTGAGAAGGCATATTTTGACTTGAAATCCATATGGACATTGAGTTTCAAAGTATTTAACACATGCACTTCTTAAATCTAGTGTTTTCTCCCAATGTATCTTCCTACAAATCAAATTGAAGCTTTTCTTTAATGCATTATGCATCCCTAGAAAAGTGAGAGTGGAAACCAAGTAAAAAGGTTGCTTACTGTAAGTAATTCGTGTACTTTCTCTTGCACGCCTTTAATTTTATATATCTTGATGTTTCATCCTAGTTATTCGAGAATATATATTAATAAATCAAGAATTGAGTATGTTGAAATTCCTAAATAAGTCGTATTGGCTTAGGATTCTTGGCACGTTGATCTTGTTGACGACTATGGACATATCCACTTGTTATCTAAACAGTATATGGTTAAGCATTCCACGTAAGTAAACTTCTCACTTCTCATTGTCTTCACACACATGTTACATTATTAAATATATAAATGTGTTACAAAAAATTGTTATTATTTAATCTTGACAGTTGATTATTATGTTTTATGTTATCGACACTTCTCATTATATATTTAAGCACGTTAATGCATCCATAATCATACACAAAGTTTCAAAGATTCAAAAGTTTTCAAATGTCATGAGTCAAGGAATATTTTAAAAAGATATGTATCTCGAATATTTTTATTATGAGGTGTATGTCTATGCTATGAAAGGTGTGAATAGGAAATTGTGAGTGACACACCCAACTAATGTTCAATGATAATGTTAATGTAAATCGCTTTGCAAAGCTACTAGTAGGGCTCGATCGGCTTCCAAATAATAATTGGCCACTGCATTCTAATTATTTAGGTGATATACCAATTAAGTTCACAATGTCAATGTTAAGGTTTTAAAGAAATGAATGAAGGGGAGGATATATATTGAGATTCTTTTATTTTAAAGTAATTTATACACTTATCATAAATATGCATCATAAGCATGAGATTTGCTTACTGAGCATTAGCTCATTCCATTAATTCCTTTCCATTTTCAAATGATGAAGGTAAGATAATTTGAGATGAATAATTGTGGTGCAATGGACTCAGTAATAATACATTTAAATATCGGCTTCTTTTAGAGATTAAAGTTGACATTTAATTTCATTGTTTTTTCTCATGTAAGTGCAAAAATTTCTACAAGTTATGTTTATAAATGAAGACAATAATATTCACTATATTGAAGAAAAATTTAATCGCTTTCGTTGTAATAATTTTAAGAGAAAATGAAATAATAATACTTCTAATTAATCTAGATATCCAGATTTGGAGGTGTTAAAATAGCAGCGTTTCCTCTTTATCACATTAATTTCAGGAAGGGTGAATCCATCACTCCTACTTTTCAAAGCATTTAAAATCTTTTCTTAGAGTGCAAGTCGAAAGCAAATAATACCTCCACTGCTTCAGTTGGAGAAGCAAGTTTAAGTAACTGCAATTTTTTGTGTCATGGTTATGGCACATGCTCCTTCAAATTTGTCATCTTTACATCAACAAATTAAGTTTTCAACCAAATAAGAAGTATTGAGATCTAAATTTTTTTGTGTCTTGTTTTCGTTGTATCAGGCTTATTCATGTAGTCCACCCTGAATTCAATGAGAGATTCCTTGTGCAGTGTCCAGAACTCCCTTGAATAATTATGAGGGTATACAATGATAAGTAAAGAAGTTGAAAAATCAACAGAACAGTCAAGAACATTCAATTGCAAACACATCCTCATTCCACATACAAGGATAAAAATAAAAAGATCATCAGCTCAGCATTCAATCAGAGGTCCATAATGGAAACTAAGAAGTGCCCAAGGAGAAAGAAAACATCATTGACATTTGGAGACGATGTTTGTCAACGAAAAGAAGTCAATAAAAGGTTGAAGATGCCGACAGTGAGGAAGCATTCCAATTTAAATCGAAAAAGTCTAAACCCCAAATATTAACAGCTATGTCCTGAAATGGGGTTTCTGTAATTTGTGGTTGCTCCACAGTTGCTGTGGCGACAAGATTGGTGGCTTAGGTGGTTCTTCCGCCATTATTGGTGGCTGGTTTAGCCGGAAGCCATTTTTATTTCCTTTTTCACAATCACAAGGCGAAGTTTTCAGAGTGAACAGAAGTGTCATTTCGTTATTTTTTGGCTTTTTTATTTGTGCCCCACACCAATGCCAAGTACTGAAAGACTCAAACTGACAGCATATACAAATTCAGCACAAGATTTCATTTCCAACAAATACCACAAAGTGGCAAAGAAGCCACATTTAAAATCATTTAGCATCCATGTTCCTGTTAACAAATTAATTGAAAGGTATTTAACATAAAAAAAAAAAAAAACCAGATCTTTAACTCGTTAGTGACTGAGTTTCCTCTGCTAGACTATCATAATCACACACTATCATTATCAAAAAACTAGGGACCAGAATGAATAAAAACACAAAAACTATATACCCAATTAACACTTGAAGAACCGTCTTGCTGATTCTTCCACCACTTTAAGAAGATTCTCCAACTTTTACGCACAAAACAGCAGTACATGCATAAATGTCAACTGCTACACTGGTATGACATCAATCTTTGAAGTGTCCTCACATCTCAAAACAATGCCTTCAAGACTTGCAGGAAGAATGCATTTACTCCATTGGTATCCAGTAGAAAAAGGTTCGGGTGGTGGAACAATCATCAGAACATTATCATTCCGTTGCACGACTCCCATTACACTGACAGTGCTACCTTCTTTGATATACCTAATCAGAATTCACGAATAGGGTAAATGTCAACTCAATATCAAGAATTTGAAAAAACCAAAGAGCATCATTGTCAAGATGCATTAGCCGTGGATGTGCAATATAACAAACAATACTTTTCTTGACCTCCTTGTCTGCGTTGGGGTTAACCTTAATCCCATTTCCGAGAGCAATAAAGAAACCCACAGTTTTGTAATGGTTCGCTATCAATGAGAGAGCTGTCTACTTACCGATATAGATTATTCAGTAAAATGAAAATGGAAATTGCAACACTTCCCTCACACCTCGTTGCGTTATCACTAAAAAAGTCCCCTCACATTCCTCCTTTGCATAATTTAGAGAACAGGTTGCATGACACAATGTACAGCTGTGGATAGCATTGCTAATTTTGACTTTTGTCTTTTTCATTCTTAACGATATTGTGTTTTTACCTCTGAACAACCAACTTAACAACAACTTGGATAAATAAAACAGATTAGTGAAAATAATTAAAATCTTACCCTTCTTTCAACCTCATTACACGATCGTCACTAGAAAGCTTTCTTTCTCCGAGCCATTTAATGAAAGCCGGAGACATATTCCTATTTGATGGATTGAAGTCGACAACAACTGATTCATCAACGTAAGGGTTCACCCTTGCACCATATCCAGTCTTGACCAATGCCCTCAAGCCAGATTGGAAATCAGAAATATAGAAATCAACCACATGCCTCTGTGATCACACACACACACACACAACCAAAAAAAAAAAATGAATATATGATTTAGCCATTTCTATCAATGCCAATGCTCCAGCCATCATAAACAAAAGACATTTCAGTGATATGGTATAACACGAGTCCTTAATGCAATGCAAAATATAATATTTACTGGCACAAAATGGCAGTAGGAAAGGCACCGAGAGAATAAACAAAAAACTGTCATACAGAAGGAGGAGAAAGTACAAGAATTTACTTAAAAGCAAACATTAAATGTTTTTACTAGAGTTTCTCGAACTGTATTCTTACATATGGTCAATACTGACAAACAGAATGTACTACATGTGGACCTGGCATGTTACATAATTTTGACAACTCAAGTCCAAATTTCTACTAAAGCTGTGTCGATATCTGGAAATATCCAAGAGACTGAGGAAAGTGGAGGGTGCATTACAGAGGAAGAGATCTTACCTGAGCTGTTTAATTATAAATAAAGAGAATATGTAGAAGCATGATAAGTCATGATATCTTCCCAACTACGAACTTAACTCATTCAACGCAGGCATACTTGTCCCAAACAGGATAGATCAAGATAAGCACATAAACCATGATCCTATCTCACCTCTAATGAACGAAGACCCCAGGTAAAACGGCGATGAGTTGGGTTTGCAGCTTTTGAATCCCATCCCCGGTACTCATATAAACTTGAGGATGTATAAACACATCTGGGAACCTTTTGGAATGACGATTCAAGAGGAAAGTTTCCACAGGTGACAACCTGCAAAATGTTAAACTTTTCCTTGTTAGGACAATGCATTCATGTAGGTTTGGAAGTCTACTGTGCAAAATTCAGTTGGGATTCCAATAAAACCAATCTCCTTCCTTGCCAAAGTGCAATCCCAATAACATGCTGCCTATAAACATCGAGTTGTTATTCTATTTGCAAAATTTTGGCTAGAGGAGCACTTGTGTGATCCTTATGAGTTAAAGCATTGCAGATTCAACAGCTCTTTGGTATAACCATGCATCACAGAATATCATTTTTCTTAGAAGGACATATATTCTATCCGCTGAGCTCCACAACAAAAGAGCTACAGTACAAGTGTTTGTGGCATTATTGTACATGGGGAAGATGATATCAGAACGACAAACCTTGTGATTCCCTAGGCGTACACTACTGTGAAATATTTTCAACTTAAGAACTGTCATATCTAAAAAATAGGACACGTGTCAACTTGAAAAACTAGTTCATCGTGTCTAAGACATTGATTGTTCACCCTCTTTCGCTTTCCATTTTCTTTTTATTTGTCTATATTCTCACCATCTTTATCCACATATAAGAAGCTTGCTTTAGTACTGAGCAATAAACAAATCTGTCTTGTTAAAAGAATGAACATAGAAAAATAACCAATCTTCTAATACTTACAAACTGGATGAACCAAGAGAACGCTCGAATTTAGAGAACCATAAAACTGAAGGAATTCATCCACAACTAGACTCCTAAACTTGAAAGGCTCCTAATAATTTAATGCAAGTGTTAGGATTCAGCATGGGAGTATAAGTTTCTCTATTAACTTCCTAGAAACCAAACACAATGTTAACATTCTCGGCTGTAGGTTTTTGATCCTGTGCTTTGATATCATGTAAGGGACAAATAATGACACCACGAAAGTATAATTGCTAATTTAATATACTAAATCGCCTTCTTTTAGAGTGAGTTGGAGGGAGGGATGGAGGATAATGTCCAGTGGTAGCATACCCCAGAAACTTTGACAAATTGGCCATCTTTTGCAGTTCTTAACTCAGCATCCGGATAACTTGCTGTGAAACCAGTAATAGCTCTTCTTCCCCAAAAAGTATTCCATATAAACACTGTAGCCACAGCAGCAGAAAGTACAAGGACGACAACAAGAAGAATGGGGTTGCGAACAGCCCCAAGTATGAAACCACCAGCAATTAATCCCATCACAAAGAGAAGTATGATGGACCAAAGGATTGGCTTTGGGAAGCTCTTGCAGAAGGAATACTCATCATCAGAGCTAAGACGTGTAACAGCCTGGTTGTTAACTATAGAAGCATTGTGCAATTTCATTGATCCTGTAGACTCCAAATGACGAGATGCCTTCCGAGGAGACCCAGCAGAATTCAGTGGGCCTGAAGTAATAGGTCCAGATGTAATCAGGCCTGTTGTCGGAAGAACTGGAGGAAGAGGGCCAGAATTTTGGCGGGAAACAGCAGCTCCCCCTCCACTTTGAGGACCAGATGACTTTTTCAATGGCTCTCCATGCTTATTAAGAGGACCAGAATTGGTCTTCTTTAAAGAAGCAGATGCATGAACACCACCAGATGAAAGAGAACCCACCCGATTGCCTAAATTTAATTGGCCTGACAGAGATGCAGAACCCCCAAAAGATCCTGTCCTTGAAGGAGCACTGTTAATGGGACCAGATTTTCTAGATCTGGAGCCATCCATAGGGATATCAAACATTTTACCGAGTTCTCCAGACTTTTTGATATCGCCACCGGTGTATGGCAAGGAAACAGAGCTCATGGTGGGAGTCTTTTCTTTTGGCTGCTCGGGCCGGCCCGACACGTAAAGGCCATTACTCAACTTATGAGAAGGGAATCGTGAACCCATATGGCCTACTGCTTCTCAGCAAAAGCCAAATGACAATATGTAGTCAATCAAAACTCAAGAACAAGGCTCACAGCTTGACCTAACACCTATTTCCAAAGAAGCAATATACCTAAAATGAAACAGAAACAAGACTGATATAAATACAGTACCTTTTGAAATGGAAAACGAACAAACCTTCAATAAAAATATTGAAATTTTCAAACAGTTAGCACAATCATAACAAAAAAAATCAGCATTGCTTGAGTTTAGTCTTGGCATGCCAGAAACAGGGTATATAAATGTTCTTAAATTGATATATGAGCATCTCGATACTCCTTAAATCAGTAAAACCGACTGAACAAAAATATCCAGTTGAATTGTTTTCTAAACTTATGAAATGATTGACAACAAAAACAAAAGCAAGTACAGAACACAGCTGAAACAACCTCTCACTTTGTATATAACTGCAATAAATTGATGGTCGTTCTTTAAAAATAAAGAATAAAAATTATAGCAGGTTGTCAAATTCTATCGAAAAATCTGACAAAGCCGGATCATCCTTTCTACCTAGATTACAATTTAGCATTTAATACATCAATGGAAATAGCTAATGCACTAACCGTAGATCTGTGAACAACTAAGTAATGATGTATAAAATCGATTGGCAACCAAACCTTAAAATTGAAGAAAGGAAAGAAACAGTAGAAGAATCTAGAGCCATTATCAGCAACACTTATTCAATAAATCATCAAATAAACGTACGGTTGAGACCCCATTGTTAACTGCTACTGGGAACTTCCCAGATCCAAAAATAGAAAAAGTAAGACACGCCCAGTAACTCAGAAATCACAGTGTGAGATATCAAATATATTATATTGACTAAGGGGGGAAGGTCCAATTTTTGAACGAAAAGAGTATCCCAGATATAAGACTTCAGGAGTAAAAATTTGCCGAAATTGACAGGTGCATTACTTTGAAATCAAGAATCCAACAAAACACGATACCCATATGAAAATCAGACAAGTTAAAAAGGACCCCACATTTCATTTCTACCTAGAGTGGGTAAAATCAAAGATTACAGTCTCTAAAACTTTACAAATTTAGAAAAATAAAGAAATTTTGCATACGTGAGAGAGCGTTAGAAGACAGCATAATGAGACGAGAATATGAAGCAACTGAAGCTTAGAGAATCGAAAATGATTGAAAGGGTTTGCTGACCGTTGAGAAAATGTAGAAGAAATGGGTAGGGGATAAATTTGAGAGAGATCAGTACTAATAAAAGAAGGAAAAACTGAAAACATACACTTCATCTCCCTGCTGGCTGCTCTTAACTCTTTAAACGTGATACTCTCTCTCTCTCTCTTGAAGAGCAGACCATTAAAATTATGCTTCAAATTTATTCCAATTTGTCAAACATTCTCAATATAATTAAAAAATGCACTCAAACCATTCCAACTATAGATAAATAATAAAATAATTTGAAGAAGAACTAGTAAAAATAAAAAATAGAAAAAATAGTAAATATTTTTAGGATTGATCAAATGAAGTATTAAAAATAAAAATCTGTTGAAATACTTAAAAATTTTTGCTCTATAAATTTAAAGATGGTCTATAAATCGTTAAATATGTTCTTGAAAAATAAAAAGTCTTTTGAAGAAACTATAATCATCTTTATTGCCGTAGTATAGTTAAAAATAATAATAAATCTCTATTTAATTTAGATATAAAAATTTAAGTTAAAATTAATAATTTTTTAATTACATATTCATAATTTGTATCTATTTTTTAAGGACATATTTCATTAACTTTTATCAAAATTTGTTGAAAATTCATTTTTGGAAACATATTCTTAATTCAATTATTAATATAATAAGAAAATGGAATCATGAAAATAATTATCTTTTATATGGGAAGTCATAAATATTAATATTATAATTTGATCTTCGCATCAATTGTTCAAAGTGATCCTTAGCTGTCTCGTAATCATTTGTTCATATTTTATCTGTCATTTCTATGTTACGTTGTCTTTTAAGAACACAACAGAAGCATTTTATTTTTTTTTTTAATTTGTCCTTTTGTGAACAAAAGATTTTGAGGTTGGCGGTATAAATGAATTGCTAATATTTTTAAATTATTATTAACATGTTGGAATCCACTGATTAATATTAACAAGGTAGATATTTTCTTTATAAAGAAGAAAAAAAATTAATTAATAAGAATATATGTCAAGTTTTATTTATTTAACTATCCATAAAAAATTGAAAAAAAAATGAGCAAAGTTAAAAAATGAAAGATTTTTGTGCTTTATGCACTTCATTAGTTAAGTTTTAATAAAGTTGAATTGGTTTTGCCCTTGTTTGGTGACCTTAAAATTTAAAAAACATAATTTTGAATAGTATATTTGAAGAATGTGCAGGTAAAAGATAATGAAAATTTTGAGTTTAATATTTTATAGTGTGAACGTGTGGTTGAAAATGAGTATAAGAAATAAATTAAAGTGAAGTGAAGAAAATCAAACAAAGGCTTAATCAGTTTATAATATATATTAATTATGTGACGTAATAAAAATCTTACATGTAATGGTGAGAGGAGTCGGTTCTTTCTTCATCCATCAAATATGTGTATTTCATTTGTAGTAGTACATGATAAAATAAAAGGAAGATGAACCTTTTGCAAAGTCTAATTACCCTGTGAAATTTTTTTGCAAAGTTTAATGATGACTTAGATGACTTTTAAAGTTCAGTGATTTTTTGAAAACCTTTTGCAAC